GCCCCGGTGCGATTTTACTGTCAGTAGTTGTGCCATAAACGAGAGTCATGGGTTTATCTTTCCATACCTTAAGCAAATTTTGGATTTACGTCAAAAGAGACCAGTAGCTTGACTCAGAACACAGCAAGTTGTTCCTGGAGCTTATGGCAACAACCCGAGCTAAGCTGTGTTGTCTGGTACTTGTTAACAACACACATTTTTGTTGTGCTTAAATCTATAACTTTGTTTGATGTGACAGTTTTATTAGGTACCCCAGAGCTGATGTGCACGGTGGAAGCAATTAGCCATAAGACCCTCTCCAAAAAACACACAATAACAAGATGATTTTGCCTTGCAGTTGGGTAATAAGACACTAGTCAGCTTCTGCATCTCTGTCTTTGATGAGGTTTTGCACCCTTAGAAGTATGTATCCCAATGACGTGATTGCAATGTGTTAGCCTTTAAATAATGTTGCATGGTAAGAAAATGAGAGGCAGCAAGGACGCTCGCATGAGATTCTCATGACGTTTGTTCAGCTTTCTAAGCTTTGAAAAACCTGCAGATATAAAGAGGTCTGCTGTGCACATTTTAGGCAATCCCTCCAGTTCCTCATTGGCCATCTTTGTTCATTAAAGGTAAGGACTGGCAAACCAGTAGGAGAAATGTTATTAAAAGTAAGTTTCACTGCTCAAGAGGGGCTTTATATCCCTCTAGCCTCTGCCTTGGGCATGACTCTGTTAGCAGGGCCTTTCTTGGCTTTAGTTTGCATGCCTGCTTTCTACTATCTCTTCCTTGTCTTTCCAACCTTCTGTGTGATTCCTAAAGAGAACAGAGATTTTGACTGCAGTGTCCAACCACATTCCCAAAAGATCAACTATCCAATGAACAAATCTATTTCGAGCCTTGCAGCGCTGTCTGCATGCTGTTTCCTCCACACAAAACTTTGGCTTCCTGGAAGTGAACCATGCCTTATATGCTGCTTTGCTGTTCGTAATAAGACACCTTCCTCAATGACACTTCTATGGCTCGTTCTGTGGTATAGACTTAACACATCCTGTTGTGTAATACTGCCATCTAGTGGAGCACTCGAACACATACACCACAGACATGTCTGATCCTCATTTGATATGCATGTCTGAAAGAAGGCTTGAAGTGTAATTCCACCTATTTTTCAGAATTTCTGCACAATTCAGTGGTTGAGATGTAAGCAGAGTAATTCAAAGTGGTCTGATGTGAAATTTATATTGTAGTGTGTATTGTAGACTCTGATTTCTATACAGTGGTGGTGAAAGGAACCAGGGTCATTGTCTACAACACAAATATAGCCATTTTAATTACTATCCAAAATGACCAGAGATCCGATATATGTCTTCTGAGTTTTTATATGTAATGTTGATAATAGTAAAACAGTGGTAAATCTGAAAAATATGTTCTAGGGCCTTGTTATCCCTTTGTGTCCCATTGCAGCACTACTTAATGACCTTTCCTCACATTCAGCACTCAATAACCTCAAATCCGATACATTAATATAATTTACCATTGCCAAAAAAGTTATACTGCTGAACTGGAAGAAACAGAACCAAAATTTCAATAAAGCACTGGCTTAACCTCCTCACAGATCACTGCAACTGTGTAAAAAATAATACAAAACCATTCAAGGAAATCTGGTCACAATTTTTGTTGTTGTATGTCTGTCCTGTCTTGACCAGTTTGTCCATTGTCTATTTTATTGTCTTTCTCCTTCTTTTTCTGCCTTGTCTCTCAGCTATCTCTGTCTTTCCTTTTATTTAAAGGGCTGGGATAGGTGTGCAGAGGGGCTATGGTGGGAGAGGGAGTGACTGTAGGTGGAGGGGGATTGGGTGGTTATGGTACATGTTTTATCCGTATGATTATTATTAAACAATGAGTTGTGACATTAAAAGTGAAGCAAAAAAGAAAAATTAATGTACCTGTAAAACTTGAAATTAAAAACACATGCGATGAATTGGTGTAAAATGTTTTTTAAGCCAAAACCTTCACATATCTGACATAAAACAATGTTTCAGACATCAGCCAGTATATTCATAACCATTTTATGTAACTCTCTGTAAGGGAGTTTTTAGAGGCATTAAGTGCCTGAGACGTCTGGTTACCATCACCACCACTGAACAATTCTGACTAGGTAAACAGCTGTAGAATAGAGCATTTTACATCCAACCACTCAGAATGACATTGCTTACAACGTAAGTAATCTGCAGAATTTCACAGACAGATAGAAAGATACATAGATACCTGTTCATCCCACATCTCCTTCACACCTTGAAATTGAACAGTGCACAAATATTTTTAAATGTAAGATAAATACATACACAGGACTGAAATTCATGTCTTTTTTGTGTCACAACTAAGAATGGGAAGGTAACCCCTTCTAATGATATGCCACAATATTAAACTTAATGTAGGGCTGAAAGATTAATCGTTTTTATATCGAAATCACAATTTGAAAGAGTGCAATTTTCAAATCAGAAGAGCTGCAATTTTATTTATAGTCTACATTATCAACAAGTTTAAAGTGAGGAGGTTTAACCTCATAACACAGAGCTTCTCAACTGCTTTTAGATGAGATAGACCAATCAGAAGCAACCAAACACTCCTGGTGCTGTGACATCACAACCACAACAAGCCAAAAATAGTGGAAATGTTAGTGGTTTTGGAAAGGATGGACATCAATTCATAGAAAACAATCGGAATACTGGTCAGAAAAAACACAATTAGATTTTGCCCAAATTTTTCAGCCCTAACTGAATAAAAATTTTTACTGTTTCAAATTTCTGCCAAGCACACTTTATAACAATATAATATTAATAATAAGTTACTTTTATACAGTGCCTTTCACAATCCCAAAGTTACTTTACATACAAAAAAAAAACTCTAGGAGTGAAGGAGTAAGAGAAATGCTCCTGAAAAAGAAAAGTCTTGAAATCAGATTTGAAGGTAGAGAAAAAAGAGCAGTCATAGAGCAATTGATGAAGAGAGTTCCAGAGTTTGGGGGCCATGGCACTGAAGGACCTAGCTCCTGAAGTGGAAATACTAACAATGGGATTAAATGACCTACTGCTACAGTTTTTCCTGCAAAGTACCAGGACAACACATATCATGATAGTTTTTTTATACCCACACACATTCCTAGTCATGACAAACATAAGTTTGCGTTTCTGAAACGATTAACTGTCACTTCACCCTCTTAAAGAATACTTTAGAAAAGAAAGAGAAAAAGTCAAGAGACCACCCATCATTTAACTTCTAGTCAAAACAGCTAGTAATTACAAGTAATTCATTTTTCAGTGTTCTGTTAAATACATATTTATCAGAAAATTACACAAAAGCCTCAACAACCAAATATAACATCAAAGTGTTTAGTATTTATTATGTCCTCTCTACCTTTATTACAGCTTCCATTCTTTTTTAGTGTACTCACTTTCAGTTTTTCAAAGAAATCTGCAGGAATGTTTTTCCACACCTCTAAAGTTTAGTCTCAGAATTTGGTTGAATTTTCTGCTTCTCATAAAATTCTGTAGTGCAAATGTTCTTTCATTCTAGTCTACCTCCTTTTTTCAGCGACAACTATACATCCTTTCAGACCCATAGCGCTGAGTTGTCTTCTCACAGTGGAAGGATGGTCAGAACAGACAGAGCTTGATTTTCTCCTCTCCCTTTTAAATTATGAAAGCTCTATTTGCTCTTTATCTGATGGGGACAGTTTTGGTGGACTTGCATGGTTGTTACGAGTACCATTGTCTCTGTAGATGTTAATACATATTTAAACTCCAGTTTTAGAAACTTTTCACATATTCTTTTACTTTCCCCTTTCTTATGCAGGTGGATTATCTTACATCTAATCTCCTAATAATTATCTCCTGAAAGATGAATGAATTAATGGCCATTCTGACTGGAATTTAAATAAATGAAGGGTGGTCTCTGACTATTGCACAGCACTGTAAAGCATGGTCAGCGTAAAACGCTTACATGAACGCATGGACTACAGTGACTGCTGTCGACACCACTCCTCTGGAGACTGTTTGTGGCAGGCAGGCCAGGGGTGTCCTGCCAATCTGCCAACGGGTTGAAATTTAAGAACCCAGACTCCCTCCCTTTTTCTCTTATCCCCTCTCTCACTCCTGCACACTTCACTCAGATCAGTTATTCTGGGCGTCTGCTAAGATTTATGCCACACGCTTGAATCTGTGCTCAAGCCTGAGACAGCTGGATAGGTAAGGAGCTTGAGTGTGGCCTTTGCATGGAGTGGATATGATGAAACCTCAACTTTCAATGTGTTTAAATGTCATTTTTATAGTAGTTTTGGTGTATGTGGAAAAAAGCCTGGTCTGAGAGATGCATGGTGAGCATGCTCCTGAATTAATTCAAAGTGCCCCTATAAGTCAAGTCTAAAGTACTTGAATATGCAGCTGTAGTAACAAATATGTACCACCACCTAAATAACTGTATTGGTGGACTAAATCTTAACTTCAATCTTTTTGACCTGCAAGATAAAAAATAGAAACTCTGGTGCTGCAAATAGCAAATCTGGAGCAACTAAAAGTGCCAGGTAGCTTGCAAAAGTGCTTACATAACAGTAATACTGAAATGTGATATCAGATAAACCGTAACAGAGCTTATAATGTGGGACTTGAAGGCATTAGTTTAGTTAAATTGAGCTTAAAATAGAGTAAAATATATTAGATTTGTCTGCACATGCACTCCGGTCAGACCCACGTGGAAACCCTTCGGGCAGGACATGCTGACGACAGTAGTAGATCACATGGCGCATGCGCAGACGCAGGCCTGCGCCCTGGCACAAAAAGCAAAAAGTGGCTGTGTAGTAAGGAAAACCCAGGCACAGACTTGCATCCTGAAGACTTTTAACACCTGCAGTGTGCCCTGTGTTTGGTAAATACCCCTCTGCCCCGTAAAGCATGACAAAAGCAGATCAGTCCTCGGCAGTGCACGCGGAAGCTCGCGCCACAGCCTGGCTTTCACTTTCCGTGATTTACGCCGATTTCGGATGATCACCTGATTGTGAGCTCGTCTGTGATCTCCACCCACAACGCAGACGCACGCAAACATCTCAGTGCAAACACAAAAGAGTCTCTAATGCAGAACGGTAGGCTCCCTCTCTGTGCGTTTGTGTGCATGCTGGTGCAGAAACACGGGGGATGGCTGGATGCAGCTCTCATCCCCTCCACTGCTCTCCTGTCTGTGCTTAATGGCAGATGCTTTTCGGCGCATTGCTAATCCGCTAAACGCTACATCGCCGTTTGTAGTTTTGAAGGCTGTAGAAGTTACAAGTAATGCTAAAACCGTTAGAGAAATCTTAAATATTAGTTGGTAAAGAGCGCTTTGAGGACGTTGGCTGGCCCTTGACTGCACTAACCTGTTGACTGCACTGACCTTTAGTCTGGTTGACCGTTTGTCCATAAGCCAAAGGTATTACTCTTAAGTTTAAAGCAGTGCAAAACATCAATGATGCTGGAGGCTGACAGCCCACTGCCTCCTTCAGGTGCAAAGCGAGTTGTACCAATATGTTGGTTAAAGGGGAACTCCACCGATTATTAAAATTTTCTGCTTAATTAAATAATTAAGATGTAAACAGTGTCTTTTTGACTGGTTTGATGTGAATCTGAATGCTCATTTCTAACACAATGAAGAGTATAATGCCTCTAAAAGCTACATTACAGAAAGCTGTTACAGCCTGAGGGCTGAGACGAAATTTCTAGATAATTCAGTTTGAAACAGTCATTCAGAGTTTGATGTGAAATGAGGTTGGTGGTTCATTGTAGAGACATTTTCCAGGTTTCTTTACAGTGTTGGTGATAGGAACCAGGGGTCATAATGTCTACAACGCAAATATAGCCATTTTATTTACCATCCAAAATGATTAGGGAACCTACGTGTGTCTTCTGAGTTCTGACACATAGTGCTGATAATGGAAAAATAGTGGTAAATTTGAAAAAATAGTAAAAACTGAATGTATCCGTCCACCGTAAATGCATTTTACAAAAAACAATGTCTCAGACAGCAGGCAATATATTTATATCAACGTCTTATAATAACTTTCTCTGAGGTAGCTTTTAGAGCCATTAAACACTTCTTAAAGAAACGTCTGGTTCTTGTCATCACAGATGGCTTGGTAGGTTTCTCTAGAATGGAAAGCAACCTGAATGATTTTGCTTACATCTTAACTATACAATTCTACAATTTTAAAATTTGGTGGAATTTCCCTATCAAGTCAACATGACTCTATAACAAATTGTGAGTGAGTCACGGTATCAGGGTTTCTAAGCCCGCTGAGTGTTTTTTCTTTATGATAGGTAGGGTTGGTGGGAGGGGGAGGTAAGCCATGATATTATTGGTGAATATTCTTTCCCGTCGACTGGTGCCTGGTGATTTAATCAAAACTCACAAGACATTTTATAGGCAGCCAAAACATTTTGAAACAAGAATTTGGTCTTTTATATGATTCCAGGTTGACTTCTAATGCTTAGACCATATGTACTGTACTGAATCTGTAGCTCTGTGCATGACAAGTGAACCAAGGTGACGTGTTTGGTGTTCTGTTTCTGGCAGAGACTTCACCATGCCCGCAGACGAGGTCCGCCAGAGGAAGGGAGGAGGTCGGAAGAAGTCCAAGAAGGGCAAGGGGAAAGGGCAGGGTGGCAGTGCCAATGAGCGGAGCAGCAGTTTAAATGGACATGATGAAGCGCCGCTGCTTCCTCCCATTGTGCCACCCAAGAAACCTGTGGAGGAGAAGAAAAGGACCGTTCAGGCCAAGACTGAGGAGGAGTCATCCATGGCCATCTGCCTGCAGGTGCTCTTCCCCTACCTGCTGGCTGGGATGGGGATGGTAATGGCAGGCATGGTGCTGGACAGCGTGCAGGTAGGACCCTTTCTGATGCTACTGCTGCTTGAATTTTATACTGATAGTGAATATATCGTTGCCGCCACAGCAAAACCTCATGGTCCCAGCTTTGAATTGAAGTTAATTGAACAAGATTTTTTTTCCAAGTCAGGATGGATCATTGTATTGAAGTTTCAACACAATATAAAGGGCAGCTAAAAACATTTTTGTTCCAACAGCAACTATGTAATATAAATAAACAGAATGTCGTTTGACTAGAGGTGCACAGTTTTTTTTTGCATATGACTGTATATGCAGGTCTACAAGAGGAGACAATACTGAAATAACTGAGGTTTTTCTGACTCAATTTTTTTTTGTTTTTAGTTCAAACCACACTTGGATGCATGTTGCATGTGTTTGCACAAAAACAGGAATTCTGTTTAACCCTTTAAGCTTTTAAAATTGATAATACATATAAAGATAATGATAACAATAGCTTTATTTAGATAGCACCTTTCGATACATCTCAAAGTTCTTTACAAAGAATAGAGCTACAATAAAAATCCTATACAAGAGGACAGCAGAAAATAAAAGCACAGAAACTCAGTGGGCCCATATGTGCTCAAACTTCAGTACCTAACTGTATTAGTTAGTTACTAATTACTTTAGAATCCATAATAACTAGTGTGTCTTATAATAATGAGTCTTACAAGCCATTTAGGAAACTTGTACAGGGAAGTGTTGCCCTCTCGCTCATGCAAAAGCCAGTGCAATGAGTTCAGTGAGAACCTTTTAGGCCAGATGTCACTGGGTTCGGCGCAGTGGAGTGGACAGAGGTTGTTATAGACTGATGTGGATGTATAATAGATGAGAGCGGAAGTGGTGGGGTGGTAGAAGGACATATGAGGATTGGATGGAGAGTTTGCTGCGTCACTGTTCTGTCCCAGGGCTCCCTCTGTGGAGCTGAATCATGTCTTTCTCTTTCTCTCTTTTTTTCCTCTTCCTTTCTGTCTTTCCCCTTTCTTCTTTTTCTCTGCCCTGTGTTTTTTATTTCTCTTACCGACACTTTCTCTCTTCTTTTTTTCTCCTTTTTCTATCTCCTCTTTTTCTCTCTCTCTCTCCCTCATTCTCTCTTTCACTCTTCCTTTCTCTGTCCTTTTTCTGTCTCCTCTTTTTCTCTCTCTCTCTCCCCCTCACTCTCTCTTTCTCTCTTCCTTTCTCTGTTTGCTCTCTCTGCTTTCTTTCTGTCCTTTTTTGCCTCCTCTTTCTTTTTTCTCTTTCTTGTCTTTTCTCTCTCTCTCTCTCCCTCACTCTCTCTTTCTCTCTTCCTTTCTCTGTTTGCTCTCTCTGCTTTCTTTCTGTCCTTTTTTGCCTCCTCTTTCTTTTTTCTCTTTCTTGTCTTTTCTCTCTTCCTCACTCTCACTTTTTCTCTCTTTCCTTTCTCTCTTCCTCGCTCTCCTTTCTTTCTCTCTCCTATTTCCGTCACCTCTTTCTCTGTATGTCCTCTCTTTCTCTCTCTCTTGCTCTTATTCTATCTCTCACTCTTCCTGTCTGTCTGTCTCTCACCCCTTTTGTGGTCTCTCACTCACTCTCTCTCTCTTCTCTGTCTGCCAGTAATCAGCCCGTTTACTGCCGATAAGACAGAAGTGCAGGCAGAGCGGCACGTCAGCCCGAGCTGACACTAGCACGGCTAGTAAGCTAACAGTGAGCTAATGCTGAACTAATACTGAGCTAATACTGAGCTAACACAGGACCAGTGGTAGGGGACAGTGAGGAAGGACAACAGCACAGACTGAGATGGCTATCGAGTACAGAAAGCGGTAATAGAGAAGGAGGGAGGAGGAAAAAGATGGGAGGAGAGGAGTGATTGGTTGGGGATGGAGGGGGCAGAACGGCTCACAGAATGGAGAAAAGAAAAGAAGATCTCAACATGTGTTTCTGTCAGCTGCTGAAGCTGCTGGACTTCTGAGCAGAGAACTGAACTACAGTGGGCGCATGTGAAGAGCTGAAATGGAGTGTCTGATGTGGAAACAGTGAGTCACGACAGCAGTGACGAAGTGAGGATGCCACATGCGGCACACAAGCACACGCGCATCTACCTCAAGACTGGTGTGCTCACACGGATGGTCGTGCCAGCTTGATGTTCTAGCAGCAGTCTGGGACTCTGAGGGAGCATCTCTGGGCACAGTTGTGTCCAAAAGACACGGAATTCAGTTCTTCACAGTTCTTTAAGGCTTGAATTCTTCACACGTGGAACTGTCAGCGTGGCATTTGACATCTGAGGGGAAATGGTCACGAACCAAAACTCAGGAGGACTAACAGACACACAGTGACTTACAGTAGCAGCTGTTCAAGAAGAGACTTTGGAAGCTAATGCTAGCAGCTATCAAGGCTTGATATGTTTTTGCTCGTTTTTGTAAAGTGAAAAGCTAAGGATTGTGAAAAAAGTAGCTTTACTTTTTTGTCCAGTGACAGCATAAGACATTTGAAGGGAAACTGTCAAAACTGGAAACCCAGGCTACTGACTTTGGGAGCTAGCATTAGCAATTTTCACTTGTATTTTGTAATGTGAAGAACTAAATGTTGTGAAAAAGTATGACATTTGAAGAGAAATTGTCATGAATGGAAACTAAGGGGGACTAACTGACTCACTGACTTTAGTTAGAATTTAATGAAAAGAGTTAGACGGCTAATGTTAGCAGCTAATAAAGCTGTTTATGTTTTCACTTGTACTTCGTAATGTGAAAAACTAAAAATCTGTGAAAAGTATGATATTTGAAAGGAAATTTCAAAAAAAAATCAGGAGTGGAAACTTGGGAGTGACTACTGACTCATTGACTTGCTAGCTGATTGAGAAGGACTTTGGAGGCTAACGCTAGCAGCTAGGAAGACTGCACACATTACAGTTTAGAATTGTCACTATAAGCTCATTAAGAGGGACTTTGGAGGCTAAAACTAGCACCTAAGAAGGCAAGGTAATTTTTTACTTTGTTGAAAACAGGATTGTAAAAGGAGCTTTTTCCCTTTCATTAGTCAACAAGTCAGCGTTACGTCGTGCATGGCTTTAGTGCGTGATAGAGACAGGAATGACCTTTAAATGCCTTAGTGGACGCAGCCCTCCTCATACCATCATCTGACTTTTTTGGGCCCTGTTCTGCCGATTGTACACTGTGGAGAAGAGGAGAAGGAACTGCTTCGTTTCATCACTCTCGGAACATTGTGTTATTTCATGGGAACACTGAAATCGTCTATTGGCTTTGCAGGAGTGACGCTGTCCGGTGTTAGCTTCTGCAGTTAGCTCACAGCTGTCATCAAAGTTTCTCCTGGTCAAGTGGGGGCTGAGCTACACTGCTTTTAGTTCTGAGTGTTCTGACCAGTTCCTCGAACCACAGCAAATCTTCTCTGAGCTTTCAGACCCCTGAGAGTCGTCTGTGCTGGGGATGGGGTAGCAGCGATGGTGGTTACACAGTTGGAACTGGAGCTGTGCTACCAGGGGAAGAAGCTGCGAGGCTTCACCTGTAAACTGACCCGGTCAGCTCATGGCTTCCTGCCGGAAAGCTCCTACCTCATCGCTGCCCAGGTCATCCTGCCCTATCTGGTCTCTGGGCTGGGCATGGTGGCGGCCGGACTCGTCATGGACGTTGTTCAAGTAGGGCTATTTTACAGTGTTTGGTGTAGTTTTTGACTCTAGTTGGAATGTCAGTACTGTAGTGCATCAGTTCTGGAGTAGCTCTGTCCTGTATTTTATGGTGTTTTATCTGTTTTAATACACCTGAGCCAAATAATCAGCTCATTAACGAGCCCTTTCAGCAGATAGATGTAGATGATAAGCGGGCAGGAACCAATTATACATTGTAGTTTTACATTTTTTGCCTTGGTAATGATCTTAGTAACTTACACATTATAACTGTACTGTACTTTTCAGTGTCAGGCCTGTCACAATAATTACATAATTGTCTGATTACAACTTTTTGAGGAGATCGCAATTATTTCCCACAGTTGTTGGCTTTCATAGTTATATGTTTACATTGCAACAAACATAATGTGAATTGGGTGCGTTTTTAGCTGTTACCAAAAAACATGTGAATTAGTAATGTTTGTTTACTTGATGACACCTTTAAAGGGTGGAAGTGAGTAATGTTTGTTTACTTGATATTTGTTAATAACACCTTTAGAGAGCAGCAGTGAGTAATGTTTGTTTATTTGATGTTTGTTAATAACACATTTAGAGGGCGGCGGTGAGTAATGTTTGTTAATAACACATTTAGAGGGCGGCGGTGAGTAATGTCTGTTTATTTGATGTTTGTTAATAACACCTTCAGAGGGCGGCGGTGAGTAATGTCTGTTTATTTGATGTTTTTTTAATATACCTTTAGAGGGAGAATAATGTTTATTAGAACTTGAGCTGTTTCTCTTGTCAGTTGGGAACTATTTAGTGTCCACAGCTGGGAAGCAGGAGATCTAATCAACCAATTTGGCTGCTTTAGGTTTGTAATTTAATAGTGTCATACAACAAATTAAAAGCAGACAATTAACTTATTAGTAATCTGTCAGTTATTTATTCAGTTATTTATATGACAGTTGATCCTCTGCTAAAATTGTATTAGCATTACATTAAATTTCTGTTTGTATATCCACTGATATACAAGCTTGTTGTCAACAGAAATGATTTTCTGCTCACCTCGTGCTTGGTGCAGTAAGCTTTTTGGAGCTGTTGAGGTTTGGCCTCCATACTGCTCATGAACAGTGTTGTTGTGTTTACATTGTATACCCAATCAGCTATTTTAATATATTTAAATCGAGTCAGTGGCTTTTTGGCTTTTAATTAAGCAATGTTTGTTTTCTGCTATATTGTGTTTTACAAGAGTGTGTATATAAGTTTGCTATATATAGATATATAGTTATGCACTGTGCAAGAGTCAGATAAAAGATTACATAAGAAAGGGAAAAGTTCAAAATGATATAGAGAAAATAGGCCTCCTATCAACCTGGTAGCTTTGATTTTTGAGAGAGAGGAGAAAATCAAGCTGCTTCAGATCTGAAAAAATCCACAGGTTTTTCTGTCCATCTTTACACTGTGAGAAGACAACTCAGCGCTATGGGTCTGAAAGAATGTGTAGCTGTCAAGAAGTTTCACTGAGAAAAGGAAATAGATAAAATATAAGAAATCAAACAAAGAAGGTGCTGGTGTTCTCAGAACAATGGACTGACCACCCCAGAGTCCAGCAGCCAACTTCAGATAAACCCCATCAGATAAATAGTACTTAAAGCTTTCATCTTTGAAAGCAGGAGACAATCAAGCTGCTTCAGATTTGAAAACCTCTACAGGTGTTTCTGTCCATCCTTCCAGTGTGAGAGGATGACTCAATGCTATTGGTGGACTGTCAGAAGCACAAAAAAGCAACCAACTTCTAAGACTGTACTTTGTAGGTGTGGAAAAATATCCCTGAATATTTCTTTGAAAAACTGAAAGCAAATCTCCCAAAAAGACTGGAAGAAAGACAAAGAGTGGACTCAATAAATACTGAAATTATTTATATTATTGTTAGTTTTGAGGCTTCAGTGTAATTTTCTGTAATGTTTTCTGATGCTGAATAATCAGTGGCTTCTACTTAATGGCTGTTTTGATTGAACATGTGATAAATGAAGGGTGGTCTCTGATTTTTGCACAGTGCTGTATATATAACTATGGGCCAAGTTAAAATGACGCGATATAACCTAATAATACAACAGTGTTCTAACAGCGTTAGGCTAGACTGGACGCTAGCCTTCGATCTCATTACAGTCCTAACAAGCTCGAGGTGAGGGTTTGTCTTTTGTGCCTGTTGTTTATGATGTGTGCGTGTGTGAGAGGAGGCAGGTGGTCTGGGCACCGCTCTAAGCCTGGTAATTGAATTGGGAGTGAGAGAGAAGAGAGGGAGAGTGTGGCCTGCGTGAGGAGTAGAGATGGGGGAAGTGCTGGCTCCCTGAATGAGGCTGGACGACGATGACGTTTCAGCAGCCTCATTATCAGTCCAGGACGCTGAGTGGGTTATAAATACCCACACGCTGACTGAGTGGCACCACATCCCTTATCTGTTTATTTAAACATCAGGGTTATTTTTAGAGGCTAGATTGTGGAACAGAGAACACTCAGCTCACTGACTCACACCTGCCAAAACAGTCAGAGCAATTTGGAGCAGACAGTTTAACATTTATTTACTCTTTGGACTGTAATTTTTTTGTCTAATGTGCGGTAGTGCTCTTCTGTGGACCACAGACAACACCATTAAGGTTTCAACAGCTGTTTAACAGATGTGTTTTTTCTGATTTGCACAGCCAGCTGTTGAACATCTATCTGAATATTGTGTATTGTGTGACATATGAGATCCTGTATGAGGTACTGTGCAGAAGTCAGACACCACTCTTCATGTGTTTAATTTTCCGGTCTAAATGGGCATTACTTTATTATTTATTCAGGAGTTAATTAAGGAAAATAAGCACATTTCTAAACCTGGAGTTCAAAAAATGTTTAAACGATTACTGAGAAAATGGGACTCCTAACCATGCAAGACGTGGTGGACCTCCAAACCTGTCCCCATCAGATAAACAGCACTGAAAGCTTTCATTTTTTAGAGAGAGAAGAAAATCAAGCTCCACTCTTGCTTCAGATCTGAAAACATCCGCAGGTGTTTCTATCTGTCCTTCCACTGTGTGACTGAAGACAACGCAATGCTATTGGTGGATCGTGAAAAGCACAAAAAAGGAACCAACTTCTAAGACTGAACTTTGGAGATGGAAAAAATATCCCTGCAGATTTCTTTGGAAAACTGAAAGCAAGTCTCCTGAAAAGAATGGAAGAAAGACAAATAGTGGACACAATAAATACTTAAAATATGATATTATATTTAGTTTTTGAAGCTTCGGTGTAATTTTCTATTATGTTTTCTGGTGCTGAATAATGAATGACTTCTACTTAATGGCTCTTTTGATTGAAAATATAATAAATGAAGGGTGGTCTATGATTTTTGCTAAAACCAAAAACAAGTACCCGGAAAAAAGTGGAAGCTGTAATAAAGGCAAAGAGTGGACACACTAAATACTAAATAAAGCTAGTTTTTCTGGCTTCTTGGAAATGTTATAGTATTTATGTTTTCTATTTTTTCTGACACTAAAAAATACTTAACAGCTGTTTTTGACTGGAAATTATATAAATGAAGGGTGGTCTCTGACTGACAGTACTGTATATTTTGGACATATACCCCATATATAATACCTCATATATTTGTGTATGAGGTGTATTATAGAAAATCTCCATTGCTATCATCTTTAATGTATATTACTAAATTGAGAGACCTGGTGCAAAAGCCAGGATGAACACTTGGCTTTAAAATGTCATAAAACATTGAGTTCAAGAGTTTCAAGAGTTTCAAGTAGTGTTCGACGATATAGCACAAATATAATGCAGTACTTGATGATACACGACCCAATATGCATGAAGATATTTAGCTTTACTAAGGTTTGATAAGTTGGAAAAGACTTATGAACTATGAATACAAAGATTTTTACTCAACATTTTGCATACAATTACACAGGACTAAATGTGTTCTGTTTGTCATGAAATATGCAGTTGGTCAGTGATCTTTATTACTGATCCACTGTGTTCTCTAAAAGGGATATAATTTGACAAATTTGTGATGTAATTTATACTAATGATAAATGGTAATTTTTACTAATGATAGTAAAAATATCATCATATTGTCCAGCCATAGTTTCACTCTGTATATTGCATGTTCCACAATGCGCAATGCTTCCATAGAAACAAAGGGGAGTTTTTGTCCTGCTTTTAATTTTAAGACGTTTTAAGTTTTAAATATATGAAGGCTACAAACAAGCCAGTGAAATTTATCCTTATTTTAGAGATGTGAAAGCATAATATTAGAATGATATATAACACACTCAGTATTGCTGAATTGACAGGACATTATATGCACCATTTTCCTCATGAATATTGTTGTGTGTATATGTTTTTCAGCACTGGGATGTGTTTAAAGTCATCACTGAGGTGTTCATCCTTGTGCCTGCTCTGGTTGGCCTGAAGGGGAATCTGGAGATGACCCTGGCCTCTCGTCTCTCCACTGCTGTAAGCTCTTTTAAAACTGTTCAGGTTTTAATTGTTTTTTTTATTTTGTCCTTGTTTTCGTTTTGACTCCCCAGTAGAAATAAATAAATTAATTAAAAATAAGCTGTAAAAACAGAGGGTTTGGGATTCATAATGGTTGTGATGTTACAAACATGAACACCTTTACATATAACAATCTGTTCAGCCTTCTTTCTCAGAAAATGGTATTAAACCGTCACTGGGGTGGTACCCTCAGGGATACATCTTCAGTGCATTTAGTTAGGGACAATAATTGTGCCATATTCCATTGCAGTTTATTTTTTCAAGATATATTTATACTGTGCACACTGTCTTGTCTCCAGGCTTTTAATTTTATCATACAGGTATGTACCCTTCCCCTGGGAAAAAAACTTGGAAGTACACGATTGGACCTTTGCTGTACCATTGAGAATATATTTACATGGTTTACCATTGACAGCATACAGTTATTCATGTTGAAGTTATTAGGAGTGCTTTAGCCCAGACTGCTTTTTGGACGACCAATACAGGGCTGAACAGGGGTCATACACATATATCAGTCTTAGAGACACAGTAACAAGAACAGCCTGTTTTATTCAAGGATTAAGGAGAGATTGGAAAATGGTCATAAAACTAAAAATAAAATAAATAAATAAATAAAATGCAGGAAAGATTCTGAATATTGGTCCTTTCACTCTCAAATCCCTTTTTACCTGCTGATGTTTTGTCTGTTCCTTTGTCCATCTGCATAGGCGAACACTGGACAGATGGATGATCCTAAGCAGCAGTGGTTAATGGTGTCCAGCAACCTGGCCCTCATACAGGTAAGTTTAGTTCCACAATAGTCAAGTCTTTATCTGCGTACAGCCACAGTGCTATTCATATAAAAGCAAGCACTACATCCTGCTGAGTGAAAGTGAGTGCAGCAATAGAAAGTAATCCAGAAAGCACTGAACTGCATGGCTGAGATTAGTTGTTCCATACTAATTGCCAAGTTACTGCAGATTTAGAAGAGTCCAGGTTTATTACAGCGCAGAGCTGCGTATGCTCGAGAACAGACGTTTTCAAAGCAGTGACATCGTGCAAGATTAAAAGAGATGATGGAGTACATCACACAGCATAATTTTAGATCCTGCACCCAAAATAATATCAGGAATGCTTTTGATGGTCCACTGTAAGTGCTTTAAATACCGTTGTATGCAAAGATTTGAACACATCTGGTGAAATTAAATGTTTTATTAAGTGAACACATCCTGTACAGAGGACAAATGTGTATGGACCAAATTTTCATTTATTCATATGGATCCTAAATTTCAACAACTTTACATTGTTTATTTAATTTAATTTTTAAAGAACTTTTTATTGTCTTGTAAATGGAGTTGAAAGATTTAGATTGATCATTATTTCAATTTTTAAATAAAAGAAAGTGCTGTTTCAAATTTTCATGTCACTACCGAAACACAAAAAGTTTTAGTGTGTAGGCGGAGCCTTATTTTAGCCACGCCCCTGTATTTTAGAGCAGGAAGTGAGGCTGCATCCCTGTCCCTCATGGCCACATGGTGAAGAGTTAGATCCCATTATTTCAAAGTAAATGTGTCCCAAAGTCTGAAAATCAGTGTGGCACATTCAAAATTTTAACTCTCGAAACACATATTTTCTGCAGTTAAATAAACCTTTTTGTGTTTCACCAAAAAACAAAAAAACTGTAACGATTTTTGTGTACATCTGTTCAAAGCTGTGTTTGCAGGTCATGTACTGGCTAATGTTTTGCTGAAAATGAGCTAAAATTGTCACTACTGAATATCACTGCTATTACTGGAACACTTGGTAAAGTTTTGGTCGTGTTATGATTGTTTTAGTAGTGACAAAATGAAATGTATAATCATTTGTTTTTTTATAGTTGATGACTCAAAGCAAAAGGGTTTTAGTCTAAAGTCCAAGTCAGTTAAAAGTCTGAAATGTGTTTTGAACTCTTTAAACTAACTCAGTAGCATGATTCAAACATGGAATTCTTCTGCAAATTATTGTGCAAAAGTGCAAAGAACTTCACTTAGAAAATTGACAAAGCATCAGGTGTGTTCTTCTGCACATGGCTGTATATGCTCACCCTGTTTTTAGCAGATGTGTAACTAAATGTCTGTTAAATTCACTTTACTTTTATATAACCCTAAAGCTAACACTCACTCTACACCTAACTTTACCCGCAATCCAAAGCCTAAACCTAGTCCTGCTCCTAACGCTAAGGTTGACTTACAGCTGACAGTTTTGATAGTGAGATTTTAAGCTCTGGGGGACCAACAGCATGAAGTGTGAGATGGAACAGGAGCCTCTTTTTCTGCCGAAGGGCAGAACGAACCAACTAAAAGCTCAGTCATGAGTCTAAAAGAACACTGTATGGTCATTAGTGGTCAGAACCCCTCTCTGGTGTTGAATGGTAATTTAATGACCTGCTCTGTCCTGCAGGTGCAGGCCACTGTGGTGGGCTTTCTGGCAGCACTGGCGGCCGTGGCTCTGGGAGCAGTGTCCAGGGGAGGAGTCGAACTAGACCAGGCTGCTGTTCTCTGTGCCAGCAGTGTGACCACTGCCTTTATTGCTGCGCTCTCGTTAGGTACTGTAACAATTACTACTGTACTCACTGTATCCACAAATATTTGAAATAAAAAAAATCTGCCAGAGGAAAGGCAGTTTTACCTGATAACAAATAAAAAATATAGAAACAGGTTAATTAATTTTACAGTATTCTTTGAACTTCTCTAATAATCAGAAGTATTAATCGTGAACTTGATTTAAGATCATTTCACACTTGCAATGTGATGTTTACATAAATGTCCAACAGAATAAATAATAAACACATTAATACAGAGCACAGCCACAAAGGGAATACCTATACCCAGCATTTTCAGGTTAGAGGAGAAGAAAAAATAAAACGTGTGAAATGTCTACTCTCTATGTGTGGTTTTATTAGTAATTATTATTATTTTAACAGTACTGTGATGCACTCAATGGCTGAAAAGACAAATCTGACATTAAAGGGGAATTTCATTGATTTTTTCAAAATATATGCATGATTTATTCGTTGAAATGTAAACAAAGTCATTCCGAGTGGTTTGAAGTAAAATGGTTAATTGTAGAAATACTAACTCAGATTTCTTTACAGTGGTGGTGATAGGAACCAGGGGTCACATTGTATACACACATATAGCCATTTTATTTTATTTTATTCATCCAAAACCACGGCTCGTCTTGTGTCTTCTGAGTTTTTTTATATACCGTGCTGGTAAAATAATAATAAATCTAAAAATAGTTCTTTTGGGAACTAATTTGCTTTACTACACCCTGCATGTACCTGTCCAACATTAATGCATAAAAAAAAACAAAACAAAAAAAAACAAAACCAAAGGTTTAGACCAAAACCTTTCTTACAATGAGTGTGTTTACATGTATTCAATAATCCAATCATGATCGGATCGGATTTGTGCAGATATCTGATTATTCAAATGGTCATGTAAACAGCATACTCCAGCATACTATGTGTTTGATCGGAGTGATGTCTAGAAATCTGATTAAGAGAGCTGAATTTTAGCTCAGTACTGAGATTTTCTAGATGATGTATGTTTAGATTTTCAGCTAAAGTGGCTCGATGCAGCATTAGGTTTGAGTTTTACATTACGTTTACGTCAGGTCTTAATCTGTGAGTTTATTGGCTGGTTGCAAAGCAGAAATCTGATTACTGTTCTGACTCATGTAGTTTGCCATTATCCGATTACTCAAGTGTATGTAAACACGTTGATCAGATTACTGACAAAATCTGATTTCCTGCAGTTATCAGATTATTAAGTGCATGTAAACACACTCAATGTCTCAGGCATAAGGCAGTGCCTTCATAACAACTTAGGTTTCTCTAGAATGTAGCATTTCACATCAAACCACTCTGAATGACTTTGGTTACATCTTAACTATTTAATTACGCAGGAAATTCCCTTTAAATTCAAGCTCTTGTGAATCACTCATTGTAATATCCAGTATAATTGTTCATAATGTCTTTATTATTCTATTGGTGTTATGTAACACTGCTGTCTCTGCAGGGCTGGTAATGATTGGTGTAATCATTGGCTCCAGGAAAGTGGGCATTAACCCAGATAACGTGGCCACCCCGATTGCTGCCAGTCTGGGAGACCTCATCACCCTCTCTCTGCTGGCCGGGGTCAGCAGCACCCTCTTTCACTACAGAGGTAAACAAATGCATTACTTAACTCAAAACAGCTGCATTCAGTGTTGAAGTGGCATAAACATGATTTTTTTTTTTACTTGAAATGTGAGATTTTTTTTCAGGGCCACCAAAAACAAATCTTTTCCAATCAGACTTGAACTATTTTCATATATGCTACTAGAACAGATTGATGAATTCATACAAGGCCATGTGAACATAATGAGAATAATCAAATTTGAATTCTTTTGTCGACCAATTGCTTTTACTTCATTTTGAAACATAGAATCGTCTTATGTACTGGAAAAAGTACAAATATAAAAATAAAGAACAACAAGACAAATAGTATTAATAATTCGACCAATTTCACTAAGTTTCTGAAGAATTAAATCATTAAAGTACAAACAAATCATTCAGAGTGGGTTGATGTAAAATGCTTTTTCTATAGAAATTTACTGAGGCAGAATTTTTCACGGTGATGGTGTTAGGAACCAGACGTCTGTAGAGTATATAATCCCTCTTAAAGCTCCCTCACAGAAAGGAGAAACATTAAAAGGTTATGAATACGCTGCCAGATTCCTGAGACATTGCTATACTTCTGGTTTGCAATACTTCAGATCTCTGGTTCCTATCACCACCACTGTAAAGAAACCTGAGTTCCTAGGTTTCTCTACAGTGAAAACCATTTCACACCAGAGCACTCAGAATGACCTTGTTTACGCCTGAGCCATTGAGTTATAGGTAAGTACAGAAGATAAGAAAAATATGCTTCCTTTAATTCTTTCCTCTTTGCGCACTTCACTGCCCATGTGCTTATCACCGTGGTCATCATCTTCTGTGGGCAGCGTGTCAGCAGTGGCTAACTTGATGATAAAATATGCTGTGCGGGTCCTCTAAGGGCATCAGTGGCAGATATGAGTCACTCACATGGGTTCACGTCTGTGAACTGTCAAGGGAGAAAGATCAGATCTAGGTTTAAAAAGGGAAGCTTGAAATGTGTATTTAGCAAGTGGGTTCTTATTGTAGTGACAGCAAGGCTCCAGTAGAGGGCAGTAGACACATATGTAGGTTGACCATGACCATGGTCCAGTGTGGGACTGATGGGTTACACTAATGTAATTACATTTATTAGACTATATATTTTCAATCTAAAAGGTTTTATCTTTCCTTCACAGAAAGAAGCTGCATACACCCTTTCATTTTACGCATGATAAGTCAATCACCTATGATTCCGTTCTACATTCCAGTCCCAGAAACACTTTCCTCAATTTTTTTTTTTAAGTGAAGAAAATTTATTTTTCAATAATCTTTTTTTTTTTCAATAATCTAATCCAGTGATTATCCACATTTTTGGGAATGTTAGAATTTTACTTTCAGCACAAAAATCCTTATTCTGAGCAAAGTGTCAGCAGCACTGCTTAATAAGCTGAAATACAGGACACATTAAATGGTCTGGTTCGTGCAGTTTGAACATAAACAGGGCTGTCTAGCCCTACTATTGACATGTTTCAGTTTCTTATCAGTGGTCTGATATCTATATTTCAGATTCATTTCTGGCTAATTCCACGTTGTTTAGGTGTTCTTCCATCACAGCTGCTGACTGAAAAGCTTGCTCAGTGGTAATGACAGTTTGGGAATTTAGTGTAGTCTCATCTTCAAAGTCTGACTAAATCACAATAACATCACGGTTATAACACTTCTCAACCAATCAGCTTAATAATTTCTAAGAGGATGAGAGAGAGGACATGACAGGATGGGAGAGCAATGCCACCTGAAGATAAAGAAACTGCAGCAGCAGTATAGAAAAGTAGTACATTGGCAACAAAATGAATATGTTCATTTTTCTCCATTCAAACAGAAAAGGCTTTCAGACGCATACTTTTCAACAAACCAATCAATGTCGAGTATAGGGAGATGCAGCTCACATAGGTGTTGATGACACAACGTAGATTTGCCTTGCAATTTTTTTACTGCGCTTGCAAAATTGCAATGTGAAGCCAAAACTATCTGGCTCAGTTGTATACAGTGTTAGAACAACATGAACCTTGGTTTGGACCTTGGTGTGGACTTTCAGGTGTTAAAACACAGTAAGATTCAGCCTTAGATTGATATTTTTATATACTGAATTCTTTCACGACAGTGTACTGTGTTTGAGTCATCCATGTTTAAAAGGGATTCTAAAAGTTTGTGATTGTTAAGAGTGTAGATTTGTATTACTGTCTGTATGTGTTTTGCTGTAGATATCTGGTACCTGTCTCCGTTGGTGTGTGTGTTCTTCCTCGTGCTGATCCCACTGTGGGTCGTGATTGCTCGGCGGAGCCTTCAGATCAGAGAGGTGCTGCGGTCCGGCTGGCAGCCTGTTATAGTGGCCATGTCCATCAGCAGGTATACAGTAGTATTTTATTTAGTTCCATATAAAAGAGAATGTAGTCAGTGTCCAAGGTATCCAAACATACATTGTTGCTGTCAAATCAAAATGTGATTACTTTTTTTACACCTTGTGAGCCAAGAGAAATTATCATAAATGCCTTACAATAATATGTTGTTACATGAATTTACATTAAAGTTAAGAATGTTTTTTCGCTCTCCTGTGAAGTTACTATCTTGAATATACACGGTTTGTTACAACAGACTTTATATGAGAAGAGAATAATCAAATTGTCATTTGATTCATTTGGTGTATAAAAAGAGGACATATATTTCATCTCATGGGTGAAGAAAGCACACACTCATGCAAAACATTGTTGAAAATAAACTATACATTCTCTACAGAGAACACACCTCTGCACATTTTAAAGTACAATTACTGTTTACTTGCAGAATTTAACATACTGGAAAAAAAAAACATAAAATGCGACTTGCGCAAAAATTGTATTATGTCTTTTATATGTTATTCTAATAATTAGAAATTGTGAACCACAGTTTGCAGAAAAATGCCGTATTTCAGTTAAATATATGAGCCCAGCCCAGCTCGCTGTTTTTCCTGTTCTTACTCTCCAACTAAACCAGACTGATAACTACGCAGGAACCCAGGACCAGAGTTACCCATCTTTCCCTGCATAGTGCACAACACAGGTCTTAAAATAATGGCTCAGTTTTACAGCGATTTCAGTAAAGAGTCCTGACACAGAGCTGCCGCTCTTTTCGATTTCTAACAACTAGCTGAAACCTGGTTAGACTACAGCTTGTGTTCACAGTCAGTGACGTATCTAGAACTCTCAGAAGGCCTAGAGTGACGTTTTTTCTTGGTCCCACCCACTACAGTAGAATGCCATTTTTAAATTTGTTTCCTCTGGAGAATGTTGAATTATATTTGACCAGGGGTGTTCAAACTTTTGTATGCATACACAAACATTCATCTAAAGTCTCAATCCCTGAAAGGCTGAAAGCTTTGAATTTGCCACACTGTTTTGTGTTTTATGGCATTATTCCACTAGAATAGGCCATAGTTTACTTTTTAATATCACTGTGACTCACCACATGTTTTTCTCACTTGGTTTCTTTCCAGCTTTGGTGGCCTGATACTCGACAAAACGGTCAGTGATCCCAACTTTGAGGGCATGGCTGTCTTTACACCCGTCATAAACGGTGAGTGGGTGTCAAAATATAAATGATTGTTTTAGATATTCACTTGTGGCTGCACATATAATACAGTGATGCTTAAAAGTTTTCTAAGCCGCTTATCCTTCAGGGTCGTGGAGGGAGCTGGAGCCTATCCCAGCGGTCATTGGGTGGAAGGCAGAAAATGCCCTAGACAGGTTGCCAGTCCATCGCAGAGCATACAGAAAACCAGTGTATATTTATGCAGAAATATAAAAAATTTTCACAAACTTTCAAGCACCAAAGTGTAAGCTTATTGGAAACTATGACACGCTATTTCTGTGAGTCCTTTGTTCTTGCTATATCTGCATCATACAGCCTGTACTTCTCTTTAGATGTGTGCCATATCTAGATAATGTCCAGATAGGATTTATTTACATTCTGTTTGTATCTGCACACATAAATGCCTCTCTGTTAGAAGTCTGTTTTGCATGTGCGGTCCCACGATACATGCAAATCCAAGGAATTCTCTTCTCTGAGCTCTGTATACACTACTGATGCAGTTCTGTTTGGAAGGGGTGTAGATTATGGACCTGAATAAACATGGCATCGCTGTTTTAACAAAACCTCTATATCCTAAATGCAAACTGTATAGAAGAAGGAAAGAGTGTTCCTAACGTTAATGTATGTCAATGTCACGAGATCTTATTCCAAGTAATTTTGGTCTGAGTGACAGCAAGTTTCTGTTTTGGCCAAAATGAACGGCCCTATACTTTGAAACCCTGCAATAAAGTGTCCTCAAATGTGCAAATTTCAATTGTCTGTAGAATGTAGCTCTTATTTTTAGAAGTAGTCCAAAAGCTGGCATGAAACACAACCAAAAAGATGCTGTTTAACGCAGTGGCCAGATGTTTTCTGGCCCAGGCTGTAGAGTCATGCTCCGCTGCAGGCTGCCTAGGGCTTACAGGGGTTTCAGTGATATATGAGTTGTGGTGAATGTTTGGAGTCAACAGTCTGGTTTAGATTTCCCTTCCCTGCTCGACTGCGTCTCTCCTCTGCCACACTCTCCAGCGCTGAGGCAGAGTGACGCAACGTTATCACTGTGGAGATTTCATGCTTTTTAGAGAACAGCAAAACAGGCGGGTAATGGCAGGCGATAACGCGGATGATGAAGACAATGATGTCTTTTATTCTTATTATCTTGATTTATATATTTTGACTTACGTTTGTTGAATTCATCTTCTTGTTTGTTGATTTAAAATTTTTTATTTACTGTTTTAGATTTTGTGAAGGTGCAGAAGGTTTTTGTTTTGCACTTTGCTTTAGACAGATAGTTTTTCCAGCTCATTTATAAAAGACAAACATTCTTCACAAACATAAGGAAAGTGAAGTGATGATGATTGAATAAGGCATTGATTTGATACCTCATTAATGGCTTTTGTGCTCGCTGAGAGAATGCACCGCCTACTGCTGCCAGCTTCACTTCGGCTGAATCAAAACACAGAAAAGCTATAAATCTTTAATTTCATACTTTGGTGGTGATGAAGAATGTGGAAAAATGTGTAAATGAATAATTATATCCTCCATAATCCCATGAAATTGCTTGCTTTGGATTTTGCAAACACAGTCGTGTGTTTTATTGCCATCATTAAGAAAACCTAATTGACTGTCTCTGAAAACTTTTATAGGAGAAGAGAGCAATGCCCTAAACTTAATCTGTTAATACATTCTGTTGTTTAAAAAATGTGTTTTCCATGCCTCTCAGGTGTTGGTGGGAACCTGGTGGCCATCCAAGCGAGCAGGATCTCCACCTACTTGCACTTCTGGAGCATGCCAGGAGTTCTACCCTACAAGATGAGGCAGCACTGGCCAAACCCCTGCGTGACCTTCTTTTCTGCAGGTCAGTCTCTCTATCAGTCAATTGGTGCAAAACTGAATGCCAAGAGAAGCTAATGTGTTCTACTCTGAATCCTCCAGGGTCAGATTTAAACCTGTTTAAACGAGATTTTCTTCACATCCAGACAATATTTCATTACATAGTGCTGTTTTCTTTTTAATTATCTGACATTATTTCATTACACAATCCTGTTTTCAAACAGTCAGACAATATTTCATTAAGAGTGCTGCTCCTTAAATTTCATATAACAAAATCTTGTTTTTTGTTTTTTTTTTAAAGATTAAAACTACATATTTTGTTGATTTTTTGAAAATAAATTAACACATACTGTACAGAGAACATGCTTAAATATGGCATTTTCTGCAAATTTAAGTTCACAGTTTCTATTCATTTCCTGATTTTAACATCTTGGGGGAAAAAAAACATATGTGTTTCAGTTTTTCACAGGGCACATTTTATGGTGTATTTTTCCCGCTGATATGTTAAATTCAGGAGATATTGTTAATCAACAAAACATTTGACCAGGGGCATCCAAACTTTTGCATTGGACTGTATAGAACCATAACAATTTAAAGAACCATTTAAATGTTGAAACTGATGTATATGGTTCTTTAAAAAACCTTTTACAGTGTAGCACCACTGTTGTTACAAGTCAGAGATTAGGTGTATTTATACAGCTATTACAGGGATCACCTGCCTGGTCCTGGAGGGCAGAGGTCAAGCACTGTTCTGTGATTTCTCTGCTCAGACACATTCGCTAAACTTCTTAAGCACTAAAACTGAGTACCTCTGGAGGAGCATTATTTTATATATGTTTGTATGCGTGTTTGCTTTTATGATGCTCAGGCGTAGTTCATTGACAAAGGTCCCATCAGGGACAATAAAGTATATTCAATTCAGTTTTAATCAAATTTAATTGTGGTTTTGGACAAAGAGGGACAGTTATGTGTTTAGCAGTGTATTTTCCTGCCTTTTCTCAGGAGTGAACGCAAAGTCAGCGCGAGTACTTTTCCTGCTGGTGGTGCCGGGACACCTCGTCTTTCTTTTTGCCATTAAAATGCTGCAAGGTGGCCACACTGCTATCACACTGGCCTTCACCTGCTGCTACCTGTGTGCTGCTCTTCTCCAGGTCAGTCCAAATGCACACACATAAACACATTAGAGCTGGAATAAATAGCTGCATTGACAGTTATGAGAAAGTGTGGCATTTTATTGTCAACATTGTATGAGGAGAAATACATTTGCATCATTTATTTTTAGCACTTTTTACGACAGGAGTTGCACCTTCAGAGCTCTTATAGAGTTGGGGGTAGGAGCTATTTTGGCAACACGTGGGGACCAACAGCAAATTAGGCAGGTGGTCGTAATATTTTGGCTTATCCGTGTAAAAAATGGCAGTGGTGCGATGGGGCAACGTGAGAGGAAACGGCAGAAGGTGTGATAGATTAGTTGAGTAATCATTAAGATTCAGTGATTATAGAAATAATCGTTGCTTGCAGCCCTCACACACACATATTCTTGCACTCTGTACCAGTATGTCACAATGATCCATCTAATTATGCAATTCAGTTTGGCTTTAAGCTGTGGAGTCTGGACTTTTAACATGCTCCGAAAACAATTCCTTGACATTATTAAAGTGAAAAAATGTGCCCTGTGGTTGTGTTCCTCATTATTTTGCACCACTGAGATGTGAGTGAGGTCCAAGGCTTTGTAATAAATATGTTGATGCAGCTGTTGAAGATGTAGCAGAGAACAGATAACCCTGGTGCTAGGAGAGAAGTGCTCTAACGTTCAGAAGTTTGGAATCACGGTTCAGTAGTTTAGAATCAGTATACTTTTAATCATATGAACTAATTCGGTTGCAGATAAAGGAATAAAATGATTATATATGCTCATCCTGTTCAGAGGTTTCATGTAATCAGTAGGGCATTAGAAGCTGTAAATATAAAAGACAAAATATTAGATGTGTCCAGAATGATGAACAGAACTGTAGAAGATTCTAGTGACAGAGAAAGCTGCAGAACATCAAGAATTACATTTTAATATCATATTTCAAAAGTGAAGCTCTAATCTCAAGGCAAATAACTTGACTAAATGAATGTAAATAGATAAATACAGTATATTACATATCATTTTATTTACTTTTGTCTTTGAAATATTGATTAAACATCTGTAAAAACATCTAAAACAAAAAGACCTTTTAGCAATTTATTATATTTAAATCCACTTTGTATGAGTAACTATTGTATATATAAAAAAACCTTGATATTATAGCATCTTATTCCAATTTTTTGAATACTATGCCAAAGAAGAAGGACTTTAGATTCTGTTTCAACTGAGAGTTCTTTAAGGAACCCAAAGTGATTCTTCTTCTGCATTACATCAAAGAAAACTTTCTGGCACCTTTATTTCAATTAGTGGAGTATGATTGATTGATCGATTACCATCCTCAGGTGGGCATCCTGCTCTATGTGGCTGACCTGATCGTCCGGCTGATGTGGAGGAAAGGCCTGGACCCGGACAACTTCTCCATTCCCTACCTGACTGCTTTGGGAGATTTGCTGGGCACTGGATTCTTGGCCCTGTGCTTCCGCCTGGTCATGCTAGTGGAGGGGCTGGGCCTATGAAAGGTAGCCCATCACCCCCAGGCCTTTAGTTGTACTCCATTAAAGCAACATCTTGTGGGCTAGCACCGGTGGTCACTGGGAGGTCAAATACGGGGGGCCAGATAAGAAAGGACAAAGACCACTGTTCTTGTGGGCTAGCCGGTTGTAGATAAATTTTCCTTGGGGACATTTGAAGGTAAACTTTGACTGACAGAGCGACTGTCTGTGTTAAACTTATACTGTAATAACTGTTCTGTGGATGTCGTCCTGTGGCCTTTGATGTTGCCTTCACACATACATCCACCTACAAACGTTGCAGGGCTTTTTAATCTAAAGGACTACAATAGACTATAGGGACTGTATCTGGGTCGTCCACTCATTCACTGTGCCACGTGTTAACTGAGCATAGTAGTGTTTAAAGTTGTGAGGACTTCAAAGGATTTACAGATTTCCATGAGTTGAAGGGTTGATGGCCATCAGGTCTGCCATCGCTCTCTCTGTTTTGGATAGTTTCCGTGATGGAAGGGATACTTAACCGTTAACTGAAGAGTGAAGAACGTTAAATGATTCAGAGCTGTACTGAAGCTCATTCCAGTGCTGGATTGAATTACAGAACAAAATAAGATTATTTCTCAAAGGGACCTGACTGGATGGGGGAGATTTGAGGTTTTGCTGCTAAAAATGTCACCATGAAGACTAAATATTCAAGTTTTTAGATTTCTTGAATATTCCACCATGAAGATGAATATTTTGAGTGTTCTTGACTTGCCTTTCAGTGAATTTATCTCACTATTTTTGCACAACTGAGAACTTCTATAAATTGTGACTGTCAGTCATTCAGGTTTTAAAGGAATGATTCACCAAATTCAAATATACACAGTTGTCAACTTTCCCCAGAGGTAGTCCACCAGCCAGGACGTGTCCAAGTTTTGCTTGTTTTGTGCTGAAGCTGCAAAGTTAGCATTGCCAGCAAGCACTAGAAGTCAGTAGTCACCCAAATCTTTTCTGTAGATACATCCCCAAATCTTCTCTCAAACCGCATCCAACTCCTTATTAAGGTTATGCAGACTTGTCAGTATGGTTTAAGAGACAGTACGACTTACTGCAAACTACAAAAATGAACAAAACTTTGTGTAGGCAGGTGTTGTGTCAATTTGACTCTCAGAATCAGTGACTCCAACACATGCATGCACATGGGCACTAAATTATGTTTGTGATTTATGTTTATATTTAACTTTAACATCCAAGATCAAACACACACACACACACACACACACACCATCTAAACTGCTTATCCTTCTGGGTCGCAGTAGAGTGCTGGAGCCTATCCCAGCTGTCATTGAGCGGAAGGCAGGATACACCCTGGACAGGTCGCCAGTCCATCGCAGGGCAGACAGACAGACATACACATTCACACACAGGGGCGATTTAGCACATCCAGTTGGCCTGACTGCATGTCTTTGGACTGTGGGAGGAAACCAGAGGAAAACCATGCAGACACAGGGAGAACAAGCAAACTCCACACAGAAAGGACCCTGGTCGCCTGGCCGGGAATCGAATCCAGGCCCCTCTTGCTGTGAGGTGACAGCGCTACCCACTAGCCACTAAGAGCAAACAGTTATTCATAAAAAGAAAACTCGAATCACGTACGTTATCTGTGGCATCCACATACCTGTGTACACACAAAGGGGATGTTTGGATTTTCAGTTTTGTCCATCGTTCACAGTAAATCATCATGTGAACCAAATACACCTTACAAATAAGTCCAATCGACCTTAATGAAGACCTGGATGCAGTTTGAGTGAGTTGAGAGAAGTTTTGGGGATGTATGTATGGAAAAAAATTGGGTGACTATTGACTTCAAGTGTTAGCAACATTAGCCTCGTAGCTCCAGTTTAGAACTAAAGAAGCAAAATTTGGACACAATGCCTTGGCTGATCAGCTACATCTGGGGTAAGTGGAAATTGTGTTTATTTAATTTTTTTCCCTAATTATTCCTTTAATTTTTACTAGAACAATAAACTGACAAATGCTTAGGGTAGATATGGCAGTTTTATTTCAAACACCTTAACTTGAATTGAAGTACAGGTAACCTCATTTGCATGCTTTTGTACAGTTTTATTGCTGCCTTCCAGTAAGGTTTTAATAATTTCACTGTTTAACTTATGTCTGTACAAAAAGTATTACATTTCACAAACTGAAATGACTTAGAAAGGATCACTCTAACACAGCGTCTGACAGTGTTCCCTCCAGTCCTTATAAACTGCGATGAAATAAAGAAAAGCTCTAAACAAAATCCAGATGGTTGATTTCTTCACTTTAGCCACATTTCAAAATAGGCTTACTGATAACACAAATCAAGATAACTACTATTTTGTGCTGGCTAGTGCACACAGCCATTCAGTTAATATTTCAGCTCTCATAATGTGTGCAAAATGTGCAATTTCTGTTAATAATGGTTTGTATTATTGCTCCAGCACAGCTCCAACTATCAGTGAGATCATGCCATTTAAGTGAGCATTTCTGTGACATCAGCCCTGCGAGTTGTTTGAAACAAATCCTAACTAATGACGTTTTTTTCTCTGTGGAATTGGTCAGGTAGCTTTCCTCCTCAGCTGGAAGAATTATGTGCTGACTGTGAGTCACGGTTGTAAATTTACGGCAAGAAAACAAGCCAAAAGTGCTTACGAAGCCCAGTTGGTACTGCACCTGCCAGGCTACAAGCACCCCACGTTCTAAAACATGGTACCGGCTGTTAGGCAAGGTTATCCATTTAATTTCATCATTTTGAAGACTTGTACAAACTTGGATATAAAGAATTAACCCTGCATCCCATGCAGAGTAACTGGACAAGGGATGGGCCAAAAAACTCCAAAGTTGATCTAAAAATGAAAATTTTCCAGTATTATTTGCAGTATTGTTAAAATATATAGGGAAAAAGCTGTAATACACATAAAAATCATTTCACCATGTGTATTTTATTGTTTTTTTAATGGACCTCTTGAGATGTAAAGAAAGTCATTCAGAGTGGCTTGATGTGAAATCATGTGAACCATGAGTCACAATGTCTACAACACAAATATAGCCATTTTATTTACTGTCCAAAACCACCAGTGAACCTACACGTTTTCTATAGTTTTATATGTAATATTGACGATGGTAAAATAGTAATTAAAAAAAAAACACACACACACACTTGCTTACAATGCCCTCTATGTAGCCCTCCTCCTTAAATGGCTTTTTAAAAAATGCATTTTAGGTCAAAATCTTATCGTTACACTAGCATAAACCGATGTTTCAGGCATCAGCCTGCATATTCATAATTATTTCATGTAGTAACTTTCTGTGTAGGAACTTTTAGAGGCATTAAACTCTTCAGACATCTGGTTCCTATCACCACCACTGCTATCAATAATGACTCCTTAAGTTTCACTACATTAGAGCATTTTACATCAGACATCTGTGAGTGACTTTGTTTATATCTTAATGATTTAATTATGCAGAAATTAAGAAAAATCAGTGGAATTCCCTTTTAATATCAGTCAATTTAAATAAATATAACTATCACCACCACTACTACTGTTTACTGTAAACATGCATCATGCTGGCATGTGTTTCACAAGGACACTGTAGAAGTATTTATTTCCGCATTTATTACCACTTTGCAAAAAGACAGTAATTGTACACCATTATTATTAAAATTTGAAACTCATACCACGAAATATAAAACTGATAAGTATTTTATCGCTAGAGTCAAAAGAAGATGACTGACCGCACCGACCGTCACTTTGTGCTCTCACTCTCTGGATTATAAGTATTAGGTTGCATTTTGACCTCTAAAGCAGGTCTTTAGGAGTAGTTGACAATGGATGTCAGTGGATTTGTGCACTAAAAAGTGATGCACTGAATTTACTTGATTTAAATGTGTGCATTTGCACATGAATGATATATATTACATCAACACAGTTCTGTTTTTCATTTCACTTTTGGTAATAATTGTGCTAATGTAATATATTTTATTCATGTGGAAATAGTTTGAAGTAAATTCAGTGCATCACATTTTTGAAAGAAAAAACAAGACTAAACTCTTCATAATGTCTTGCTTACACCCACTAATTCTTCTGTTCAGTTACGTTTTTAAAAAGGCAGCTTTTGAAGAAACGTGTTTCTTTCTGACCTGTAGTGGCCGGTAGCTGGCTTGCACCTTGGCCTGGACGCCGTAGCTTAACAAGGAGGGCACTGACAAGGGTCTCTGCTCACCCTGACCACAGCTATGCACTGTTTACCCAGCCTGATGCGTGCTAAATGAAGAGGTGACTCTGTGAGAAAGCCAGCTTTTACCGTTTTTAATTCCAGAGATGATGGACTGCCTGAGCAATGCTCGCCAGCTTACTTCACAGAAAAAGCAGTCTGAACTTATACTTCAACAACAAAAGTATCTGAAAGCAGATTATATTACAGATGGTTGTGGTTGTGAACTTGCACTGAAAAAAGTGATGCAATGAATTTGATTTAAATGTTTAGTTAATTTCCATGTGAATAAAATCTGTTTAACAGTTTTGTCTTTAAAGGGACACTTTGGCCAAAATAAAAATTGCTACAGCTGTTGTAAACATGCCTTCTCGCGTCTTACAGCTGAGCCTCAGTAGCCTCTAAAGTGAGATTTCCTGGTTTAAAAATTAAGAAAACCACATTTTGATGACGTATCTTGAAAGGATATTTTGAAACTTTGTGGGGGACACTTAAAATAAATTATTATTTTAACAAAGAAAAAAGTTTAACTTATAAGTGAGTGGTTAGTTCTGTGTCACACGCTGGATGTCTGTGAACAGTATTTTGTTAGTAGCTTGCTAACTGGGGCTGGAATGTCCCGAAACTGTGGGTTTTTTGTGGTATTTCAAATTTCCGCCTCAGGTTCTCTGCCCACCACAGACTTTCTGATGTAAACTGGACGCTAAAATTACTGCAGCTCTGAGTCTCACCTTTCACAGAGAATTTAAACTGGCCCCGGCTATCCATTCTTCTGGGCACTGGTTTATCAGTCTGATGGGAAACAAATGTTTATCAAGCTAAATGCTAGTAGCCATCGATATGCTAGTTACAAGACTGTATTTCAGTGCTGTCTTACGCAGCTTTTAGTAAAACTTAATCTTGTGTAGTATTTCCACACTAATAAAATAGTCTGGGCTTTGTGTTCAGCACAAAGCATATTTCTATTTTCTTCCTCCTGCTTATTTATTTTATTATTTTTAGCACCGCTGCATTTCAGACACTGTCCACAACTAGTCAGCTTCTGCCCATAGCACTGACAACTTGATTTATCAGTCAACTAGTCTACGTAACCTCCATAGATGTATTTATTAGCTTCTAGATCAGTGGCTAGCAGTCAGGATCTGTTGGGCACCCTAGGGTAGAGTTAGGTGGTACAATGGTCATATGGTTATACCAGGGTATTTAAAAAAGATATCTGAACTGCCAAATACACACATTCCATCCATTTCTAATTTAGAGCTCACTGATAGAAAGAGAGAACCAGGAAAAACCTTTAAAAAATGAATCATAATAGTGGCTCAGCGATGGCTACGAGCTACACACACCACAGAACGTGTTCAGCTTTCAGTCACTTGACTTCGTGCTTGCAGAAATCCTCTAAAGAGCTGCCATTTTAGCATCAGTTAGCTGGAAGCTAACTTGTGCTGTGGTGTATGCTACGCTTGGCCTGCTAAATAATCTATTGTTAGCTTAGCTACATTTCCAACCACCACAGAACAGGTTTGATTTCGGCTTTCTGTCACTCCAACACCAATCACTTGACTTTTGCTCTCACGAACATTAGTTTTTATCATCAGCAGAGCAGCAGTTAGTCAGAATTAAACCTGTACTGTGGTCCGTGGCCCTGTTTGGGTCTGTAGCCTGCTTGCTAAGCTAATGTTGAGTTAGCCCATCAGGCTACAGATCCAAACACCACAGAACAGGTTTAATTTTGCCTTTTTGTCCCTTCAGCGCCAGCTGCTCAACATCACTCCCTCAGATTTGAATCATTATTATCTAAACTTGTATCTGTGCTTTAGTTAGCCGGAATTTTACGTTCTGTGGTGAGCAGAGCTGTTGTCATGCTAGCTAAGCTAATGCTAACCAGATCTGTCTCAGTTTGCAGCACAGTTTAACATTTAGTAGTTGTTAGATGGGTTGACATTTATTGAATGATGGCTTGAAAATCTGGCTCTCGTCCCCATGAAAGCAAACTAAAATACATTTTTTTTAAATATTTGGAGGTAACATTTGGAGATGATTTAACAGTATGAAACAAGTGGATAGTGCCCAACTCTATTGTAGGAATTCCAAATGGTTTTATGATGTATTTGTGTAATGCATGCCTGATACTGTAGTGAAAGAAAACAAGAAAACAAAACTGATGACAGAATATTTCATAACAGCAAATAACACTGAATTGTATTTTTTGGCTGGAATGCCCCTTTAAGTTCAAGTTACCCTTTAGCAATAACTGTTTTGGTTTGTTTTTGATTGAATGAAATATTCATTTGTATCAAATAAATTCATTTCATCACTTTTTTCAGTGTTCTACTCAGCTTCTGGAAGGAGACGCAAAAAGATTTAGAAGGTGAACTGTTGTTAGTCAAGATTTTTTTAAAGAATGGATTCACAGCCTTGAGTAAAATCTCTGCTGACTTCAGTTCAGGAGCAATTTACAATGTTTACAATAAATATTTCAGCAAAACCTTAAATATAAAACATGGGACTGGACATTAAAAAGTGAGGGGGAAAAGCTCTGCATTCGTGAGCTAATGAAGAATCCCGCTTCAATTAGTCAACTTTCAGAGTCAAAGGCACATAGTTGGGCGTTCAGTCAGTACCTAACACGGCCAGAGGTACTGTGGGAAAGGCTTGGGTGGATGCAGCACCTTGCCATTAGTAATCTGTTCTCGGCTATGCATTTTCACCCTCAGGGAGAACCATGGCTTATTCAGGGCCCGTCCCCTCCGAGCCCCTGTCCAGCAGCACAATCCACTCAGGAACGCACACGAGTGGAATTTAAACACCAGCACATGCTCAATGTGATGTGCATATGAGCACACAGTCTGGAAACGACCCACTCGCAGTGAAATAAGAGATGCATTGGGACTGCTAGGTTCAAATAAATCATTTTTACATGAGTGGAATATCTCAACACAATTTTATCCTTACTTTGTGTTGTTTTATATTTCATTCATGTAAAAATGATGGATCAAGTCGATTAAATGCAACACTTTTTCTGCACACATCAGCACATGGCTGCAAACTCAAAATCCATCTCATTTCAACTTCAAGTAGGCTGGTGTGGAGTAGTTAAAAAGCAGGAAATCCATTCTGTAAAGGTTGAAGAGTTTCTTCTGATAGAAGGGGCTGATGTTGTCGAAAAATTTGGCCGCCATGTCTCCAGTGGTCCTTGTGCTTTTGGAGAAGACTGGAAACTGCACCTCCTGGTCAGCGCCGGCCAGTTTAAGCAGGTACTGGGAGTCCTGCTCTAGAGTTTCATACTTTCCCACCACGTCATAGTGGATTAGGCAGGGATGACACAGTGAGTGAACCCTCTCCCAGTGCTCATTAAATGGCTCCTCCTTTTGAGTCCGTGGGTCCACCAGGTAGTACACAAACTCCTCAAATGTAACGTCATTGCCTTTCTCCTGCGCCTCTGGCTGGGGGTTGACCCGGTGCCTCCGGATTATCTTTGTCCCGTAGCGCTTATGGAAGGCTACATTGTAGTTGCGGGTGAATTTGTTCCGGTATGCGGACACCAACCTCTCGAAGGGTTCCCGGACGAAGACAAATTTGAGGTAGGTGCGCAGACGTAGGTTGATCTCAGCCTTGGTGTACTCGGAGAGCGAGCGCAGGCGGCCTGGCACGTGCGCCTCGTTAGCCGGGATGGCCAGCGGCTCGCGGTACCGTCCGTCGCCCGTCAGCACCATCATCACCCGCTTCCAGTTGGTGCAGGCCACCTTGGGCACGTAGCAGTAGAGCAGGTTGTGCTTGTCGTCCACTATGAGGTGCCGCAGGTCCTCAGGGGTCAGCAGGCGGCGTTTCCGGGTGTGTGAACGACACGCCTGCTCCAGAAGCTCCCGCCGACCCTGCAGCACCGATGCCACCGCAGACTGATCCAACTGTGGAGAGAAGACAACAATGATTATAAACAGAGCAGTAATATTGTGAATAATACAGTATAAATGTTCCAAGGCTTATTTCAGTGGACTGGTTTTTCTCATTTCTGGTTTTCTGTATTTCTCACTTTCTGGCTCTTTGTTATTCCCCAGTTTTACCCCACTGAGCCCATTTACAGTCAGTGTGGGCTATTTGGCAAAAACATAATATAAGGATACTACAAGGCATTTTCATTATACACGATATGCGGCAAAATATTTCATTTTTTGAATCAAGTCTATTTAAAAAAAGGGAGGAAAATTTTAGTTACCCTTGATTTGGGCCCTGTAAGTACTAATGATATCCATGTTATGCTCAAAAAAGCATATTGTCAAGTAATGTCACATTATTTACAATGACAACGACAAGTATCGTTGCCAACTCCTATTTACAGTACTGTCATACTGTACCAGTTAGGCACCTTAGGGCAGCATTCTTAATCGGATTATAGCTATTTTCACAGGATCTTTCATATATTAAAATGCAGGCCAGGTAAATACAACAGTAAATCAGTGTAAATAAAATGGAAGAAAATACTGAAAGTACAGAAGCGAATATGTTTTCAGCTGCTTCTGAAAACCAGTGGTACCTGACAAATATGAATAGGTGAAGAAAATGACAGTGGTAAAGTCAGCAAATTGGAGTGGCAGAACCACTCTGAGAGCACAAATGTTGTTCAGATTGTGCCTCCAAGTAATATATAATGGAACAGATGTAAACAAGCCCTGCTTTCTCTGGGAAAAACTGCTGTGTCTGCGAGCAGCAGCACAAACCAGAATGCAAGGACAGATGGTTCAAGCCAGGACTGGGATATAACAATGAATTTAATATCTTGCTTTCCGAGCTGTTTCAGCTTGTTTTTATCTGTTTATGTTTATCTGCATTATCATAATTAGTGCTTGTTGTACCAGACCTTCAAAATCTGTTTATTTGTATCAAAGGGGAAGACAGAAATGAAGAAGTCAAGATCCTGACTAACAATGACATTTCCCATAAACTGGCTCTGCCAGCTTTACAGGAACTTTGACACAGGCATTACAACACAAAGAAAAACACATGTGGCCTGTTTAGCTTGTATGAACCGTACTTTGCACAGGGAAATTTTTTTTGAAAAACAGATCTGAGAGTGAACTTGCTACAGATGCTTCTCATGGGAACAGGTCTGATTCTGGCACAGAAAAATAACAGAGCAAGAAATGAGGGATAGGAGGATACAGGAACGGTGGTATGTTGCATGTGTTTACCACCAGGCAGAGATGGAGACTCAAGTCACATTCAAGTTGCGTGCTGGCTCGTGATGTGACTCTGAATCTGCCTTAACAGTGTATTTTGCAACAATTAGCAACTCTTGCTATTAGACACAAAGATGAAATCTGCTATCCACAAAAAAAAACTGCTAGAAAATTACAAAATTGTTGTTGCCGTTTTATAAAAGCAATAGCCTCTCAAGGCTGTGTGTTACAGGACATTGGTATATGTCATGGCAGCCCACAGCCTCAAGCTGCTTGTTGCTTTTATAAGATAAAGATAACCTACACTATTTGGCCAAAAGTATGTGGACACCCAACCAGCACACCTATATGACCTTGCTGAACATCCCATTCCAAAATCATGGGCATTAATAAGGAGCTGGCCACCACCATGCAACAATTTTTGTCCGAGGTCAGACACTGATGTTGGACGAGAAGGCGTGGCTCACAATCAGCGTTCCAATTCATTCCAAAGGTGTTAAGTGGGGATGAGGTCAAGGCTCTGTGCAGGCCACTGGAGTTCCTCCACACCAAACCCATCAAACCATGCCTTTTTGCAGCTCGCTTTGTGCACAGGGGCACATGGTCATGCTGGAATAGGAAAGGGCCTTCCCCAAAACTGCCCCAAAACTGCCAAAACATTACTCTTCACTGGAATTAAGAGGTCCAAATCCTAAAAACCAGCCCCAGCCCATTATCCCTCCTCCACCAAACTTTACTGTTGGCATATGCATTCCGGTAGGTAACGTTCTCCTGGCATTCGCCAAACCCAGATTCGTCCATCAGACTGCTATGGAAACCCATTTCTTGAAGCTCCTGACATTGTGCTGATGTTACTTCCAGAGACAGTGTGAAACTCTGTAGTGAGTGATACAACAGAGGATAGGTGCTACGTGCATCAGCACTCGGCAGCCCCGCTCTGTGTGTTTGTGTATTGTGCCACTTTGTGACTGAGCTGTTGTCGCCCCTAGACACTTCCATTTCACAATAATAGCACTTACAGTTGACCAGGGTAGACGAAGCAGAGCAGAAACCTCACAAACTAACTTGTGGCAAAGATGGCGTCTGATGACTTTGTCTCATTTAGTCACTGAGCTCTTCAGTACGACCCGTTCTACTGCCAGTGTTTGTCTATGGAGACTGCAAAGCTATGTGCTTGATTTTATTCACCTGTTAGCAATGAGTGTGGCTGAAACACCTGAACTCAGTAATCAGGAGGGGCATCCACAAATATTTGGTCATATAATGTACAATAAAACACACAAATCTTCATTAATCCCTGAAATGGCCACGTCCAAAATTTTACTACACACTTCTGTGAAATAAGAATAGCTCAGGCAGTTGCACTGTAGTCAAAGTATTTACTGAATAATAAGCCTTAGTATGTAATAATACAGGGATTTTAAGAAGTTAAATCTTTTAATTTCTTATTATTGGGGACGCAAATTTTCTTTTAGCTAATAACTAACGTTTGTCAGTGATTTACTGTCAACTGATAAACCTAAAAACACAGAGACAATCCATGAAGACATCAAACACAGCACTGTGTTTCATATAAAAATGATTTTAGGCTTTATAGAATAAAAAAAACACAGTCTGATGTTTAACAGATAAGACAGCAACATAATGCAGTCTACTCACATTTACCACGTATTATTAGCTCAAGTTAACGAACATGTATGACCTGACTGGGGCTGGCACAAAGTTTACATGAATAGTTCAAACAACAGGTAAAATAAAGTTGTTAGCTCGCAGCTTTTAAGCATTTTTTGTCATGAGGCTAACTACATAGGCCAAGCGTTAGCTAACAAACATGGCTACACTCAACAGAAACAACGTTTAAAAGTCAGTTGTAGCCTAACTTAGTACTGTATCACGTGGCTAAATGACGTGATACGGTTGTAAACTATATTTAGGACAGTTCAACCTCTGCTGTATCCCTTTATCAACAGCTCTGGCGCTAAGGGTTAAAATTAAGTGGAGCCGAGGAGTTGAGAACGTCAACCCGGAGTTCTGGATCACTAAGTAAGGCTATTGGGACAAGCTGCACTGCTGCACCCTCATCCGTACAACTCAATAACAGCTCTCAAGTTGAGTGAATAACCTGCATATTTAAATATCAACTGTGAAATCAAACAACCTTTTTAACAGAAAGCATTGGTCAAACATGTATGTTTGGGGTCATTCTCCATTTAGAGTGGGAAACCATGTCCAACAGATCTTAAAAAGATGCTTAAAATATTTGGCACAGCTCCAAAAGTCAGTGTGTACATTTACACAGTTGACTTAAGATTAAATAACTAATTTCCCTTATGATTTTTTTTTTTTTAAAAATTATCTTTTTTAATTCTGTTTCATATTCGCTCTGCATATGTACAACAGCTCATCACAAAACCAATTTTCAACATTTGAGAAACTATTTTTAATATAAAACACTATTTTTAAGAGGTTTCATTTAGGAATTTGTATAAAATACATTCATATTTACTTTATATATCATTAATGTTATATTACATTTAAAAAAATATGTTTTTTATATTAGAAATTCTGAAAACTGAGATTTTGGTCACTAGTGTTCAGGACTCTTATGTTACATTTTAACACAGTATTTTAACTCTTAAACCACTTTTTTTGGGTCAATGGTCATCAGAGAGGAAGCACCTCAAGGCATAAGAAGGCGAGTCCATACATGCTCACTATATTTCATTAATTTGTTAATAATTTTATTTATCAGGCAGCACATAACGTGTCACTGGTGTTATGTGCTTTAATGGCTTGATAAAATAATAATGCCATATATTTTTATTACTGATTTTAAATAGTTGCACAAGGTCATCTGATCGCCAATGAGTCAGCCAATTTACAAAATCCTCAATTTTAACCAGAATGTCACATGGACTGTCACAGTCACTGGCGTTACACCATATTCATATAACACCAGTGACGTGTTGTGACACCAGTGACTAATGTTAATGTCATGAATGATCAGAACACTTGAAAAACTAGTTAATACAGAATTTTTATCTTTATCTATATTTAGGCCCATTGGTGCTTATTTTGTTAGTTTCTACTTCGGGGGGAGTTCAGCCAAACAGAGGCAGAGGCCGTGTAGACAACGTACAGGTTCAGGTAAAGCTGGTTGCTTGGCAAAAAAAAAACAAAAACTTACCCTTTTCAGTCCTGAGACTGGACAGTTTAAAAACAAATAAAGTTTTGTTATGAAACATGTTCTCTGCTTAATTTTTCTGTTTATTGGGAAACATATTTAGTGTCCAGTATACGGCACATTTGGATGAAATGTAAGAGATTTTGAAAAAATAACGTTTATAATCATCAGCATAACAAGACACAAAGCAAGCACATAATTTTTTGTGTTTACTGTATGTATATTTGTGTGAAAAAGTTTCTGAACTCTTGGAACCACTAGACTTCTGCATGAACAGCTCCTAAAATATTAAACACGTTTCACTGGTGTTAGGTTTGTTATGATAAGGTGTTCTTTTTGGTTAAATATTGACTGTATTAAGAGTAACTTACCTGAAATGTTAGAATATTAGAATAGAATATTTCAGTAGTTCAAATTTCATGTTTATAATACAATGATTTAATAATTCTTTTTACAGAATAGTATATCACTGTTGTCAGAAGAAAACCTTGTATCTCTAAAATGGTAACTTCACAGGAAAAGAAAAAAAAAACCTACTTTATTTTTAAAGTAAGTTAATGGAACCAGATTTTTTTCCAAGTAATTTTGGGCCATTTCTTTTGGTCCATTCATCATGAAATTTACATACAATGTAAAGGGCAACAGGCACTTTTGAATAATGTCAAAATCTGAAAGGCAAAAATAGAGATACAAGGTTTTCTTCCCACAGCAGCGATATGGAGGTATGTTAAAATAAAACATCTGTATTTTTAATTTTTTGTGTATAAAAGAGCTTTGGTAACATGATTATTCAAATTGAATTTCTTCAATAAATACAGCCACATTAAATGTAAATGAAAAATAAATGCATTTAAGACAAAAAGAATGCCTGATTAAGGGGTAACACCAGTGACAAATTAACAACTTAACCAAAATACATTTGGAATTAAGCTCTCCTTTTTGCCTGTATGACAATAAGAGATGTTAATGGACATATTAAGATTGTTTAGAGATGAAAGAAACTGATTTTGTAAAAATGTATCCACCTGAATTCCCACTCCAAATGGAGAATGACCCATTTGTCGGTTAATGATTAAGCATCCCTAATCACTACAGTGCAGCTGGAAAGAAAATTCATCATTTGTAGACCAACTTTCTGTCTTACAGTCACACTGAGCTAAAGAAAGAGCTTTGCCCTTTTGCTGAGAAACGTTATTGAACGTAAATATATGCAGCCCCTGAGAGTTCTCTTGTAAGAACACTGAGCTTAAAGAGAACCACACGTGGCATGTTCTTGCATCAGTTCTTGTGAGTTTCTAACGGTCTGAGTTCACCCAGCGGATGACGCTGCTTTCCTCCAGTGGTATGGGGTTAGAGATGGTGGGCAGGGGGTTGAGAGGGTGGTCCTTCTGGAATGTATGGGGGCTTGGGGTTTTATTTTCTTAAGAAACTCAACTTTCCCCTGTCCTGAAGACAGTCCCTTCATAAGCTGAGCCTGAGGAATGTGTCCTCAGAGCTTAGCTTAAAACCAGAGATCCCCCCCAAGGCAACTCAAAACCATTAAAACAGGGAGAGAAAGCAAGAGGTTTATGACTGAGATTACAGCTCTATTTGCATTCCTGAGCATGTTAACCTCATCATGGAGCGTGATTTAGGCAAGCACAATGCTAAATGGTGGGGTAGAAGCTTCTACTACTTGTTAGCTACATCAGCCCTGTAGCAGCAGTGCAAATCTAAAGAAGCAAACCAAACTACATTTTGAGTAAGTGGGGAACAAAAAGCTTTGTCCAAATGCTAACAAGTGGAATACAATCCTTCAGAGCTGACATTAACTCAGAATTCAAATTTACTGTATCTGACAAAGCTGGCAATGCTGACATCTTGCTGACAGAGTAAAATAATCACCTGATCACTGTCGTAGAGCGTCTGCAGGGGGCTTCTTCTAGACTTTTCTGGCAAGTTGGTCCTTCCCAAAATCTGCTCTGTAGCTACGAACACACAAAAATACAGGAAAACACATTGAGAAATAAATAAGAAATGAAAGATCAATTCTAAAGACTATGACCTTAAGATTGAAGAAGTAAACAGAAATCTGGTACTGCTGTTAGTGAAGGTCTGATCACCTGTTTTCCACACATATTTTGTTGCATTTCGCCAACTTTGGCAAGAGCACAAAGACGGCAACAGGAGCTATATATGTATGTATACATGGGATGCATGTTGGTTAATTCAGCTCACTGCAGTCATTATGCTAAACATTTGATTCACATGATTTCCTTTATTATATGTAATTACATAGATCCATGATGAATTGTGTTTACATTCTGTTTATAACATTCTTCTGTTATAACATTCGTTATAATTTGTTATAATTTCCAATTTTTTGGTATTTAGTTTTTTTTTCCTAGACTGTATACAACGAAAACTTACATTCACTTCAAATCATAATAAAACATCCCCTCTTTTCCTTAAAACACAAATTTGATTTATTGAAAGTTTAAAATCTTCACTTTTGAAAAGATTTCCCCCACTTTTTTAAATTCAGTACGATTTAGAAATCATATTTGCCATTTTTATCAGGTTCATTCAAGTTGCCTAAGAAGAGTGCAGATTTAACTGTCTTTAATGACAAACTAACTACTTTGCGTCCGATTTATGAAACTTTCATACAACGTGGAAACAAGTAGAGATTGAGTGCAAACGATGAATCAGCTTCAGTGTGTGAAATCAAGTGCCAGCCTATCAGCATATCATTTACATGATACATACCCCAATTCATGCAGATGTTTGGCAGGGAGCCAAAAAAAACAACAGGATTTAACAGCTCGAGAGCCAATGGTTGTGCTCATAGGTGGACTGTGAGGTCAAGCAGTGAGGGCACTGATGTCCTACTGACCAAACTTTAGTGTTAAATTTACAATGACTGGAAAGAATAAAATGTTTTTTAGGATGCTGGAATGATGTGACTGTGTAGTGAGATTATTTTCCTAAAATGACATATTTAAGTGCTGTATTACTGCAGGGTATGAGATGCTTCTGCACTTTTTTTGCTTTTCTATTTATAATATTCCTATTGTTAATTATGTGAAGCTTATCTTATCTGCGTTTTGTAATGTTTATTTTGTGGGTGGAGTCAGTGGTATAAAACAAAAGCATAGTGTAATATGCCTGGATATGAATATGCAGCAATTGTTTATACTAATCTGTATGTAAAATAAGTTCATCCTCTTTTGTACTGAATTGCCATGAGCACAAATTATTCGTTTTATTGTTATTTTCTAGTTTTATACATATTGTGAATATTATAGACTATATTAAAAATGGTTTTGCTTTGATACTTAAAGGTGCTTTAAGGCACATATGCCATGTGAGAGGATCAAGGAGAGTTAATGAAGTGTTTCTTTTTTCGAATGTATATAATTTACAGTCTTGTTTAAAGTGCAGATGACAGAGGGACAGTCTACATGACAAGGCTATTATTGGCACAAAGTTGAGGTTAGTGCTGTTAAACCGTTACTCAATCTAATGATTACAAAATGTATGTTAGTTTTGAAATAGTCACTAAATAAGTCACTCACTGGAGCTGCTGAATAGTAAGTCTTGAGATCAAATAAATGGCTGTTGTAAAAAAATCACATAATTTACAGTTTTCCTCTTACCCCAGTGTAGTCAATTAGTGCACAAAATGTGCTTCTTTTATTTTAAACTAGAGCTATATGACTACTGTTGTTTCTCCTCCCTTTCATATGCATGCATTTAACACAGACATTTGGATGCTACAGATTATGTTCAATATTTCTGTTGTTTCCTTTTATAAATACCTTATAACAACAGAAATAAACAGAAACAACAGAAATCATGAATGTAATCGGGCGTCCAATCCAGGAAGCAGAATTCACCACAACACCTGTTGTCTAAATTAGCCTGCAGCGTCCAGCTACGCTGTGACGTTTTGTTTTTATTTACATTTTTATGAGCCTAAGTAACATTGACAACATTCAATCGTACGACTACTTACTTCTTGTGCTTGTTAGCAATGTTAGGCTTGTAACTCCAGAACTAAAGTAAAGAAGTAAACCTTGGACGTGTCTTGGCTGATTAGCAATATCTGGGATAAGTGGCAAGTTGTGTAAATTGTAAACTTCACAGAACCTTTACTTTAATAACTGAATAACCAGCTGACGGCTGAACGGGTTAAAGCAGGGCAGCCTGAAAGCTGCAGGGTTTCAGCCCAGTTCAGTACAGCCACCATGGAGATCAGCCATAAACTTCCCTCTTTAAAGTGACATGCACTATAGGAACACTGTGTTCTCTCCAGCAGTCCAAGTGTTTCCCCCTCACTCCCCTTCTCTCCCACCGCTCATACACACTACTCACTACTGGCCTATTGGCTACAGACAGGTCTGCGCTGGGGCCCACGCTGACTGCACAAGTGATTGGTTTTGCACATGTGCCAACAAAGTCAAATGGGGGGAGGGGGGGCAGAGAGAGAGAGAGAGAGAGAGAGAGACAGAGAGAGAGAGAGACAGAGAGAGAACAACAGAAAGAGAAAGAGTAGGCATAGAGAGAGGGACAAATGGAGAAAGAGGGGAAAAGAAAAGCAAAAGCAAAGAAAATAGATGGAGAGAGACAGAAACAGAGAGAGGGAAAGAGAGATCAAAGAGAGAAAGAGAGCGGGGGGAGTAAGAGAGAAAGCAGAGAGAGGGAGAGGGGAGAGAAAGAAAGAAAGATGGCAAAGAAAGAGAAAATGATGGAGAGACAGAGATGGGGGAGAGCAAGAAAGACAGAAACAGGGAACGGGATCCAAGGGGGAATGACATATATATGTAAAGAGAGAGGGAGAGAGAGAGAGGACAGCAGTAGAGGAAAAGAAAGCAGAGTAAGAGAGAAAGAGGGAAAGCGAGAGGAAACAGAGAGAGAGATGAAGAGCAAGAGAAAGATAGAAGGAGAAAGAGTTAGCAGAGAGGGAGAGAGAGAGAGAAAGAGAGAGAGAGAGAGAGAGAGAGAGCAGTATAGAGAGGGGAGGGAGAGAAAAAGAAAGATGGAGAGAACCAGAGAAAGACATCAAAGAGAGACAAAGATAAAGAGAGACACAGAAAGAGAGAGGGGAAGAACAAGAAAGACAAGCAGAGAAAGAGAACAAAGAGAGAGAGAGAGGGAGTGAGAAAGAGAGAACAGTAATGTAAACGGGAAAGATGAGAGAAACTAGGGTAAAGTTAAAGTTAAAGACGGAGGGTAGGTGGACGTGTTGGAAAAAAGCCCACGTTGACAGAATAAGGGCGAAGAACAGTAATGAGATAAAGAAGTGAAGGGGACGAAGGGGGACGGACGCAGCTGTAGATGTGGACCATATGCTCTGGTGCAGAACGTATAGAGAGCAGCACAGGCGGCCCATGTGGCCCAGGCTGCAGTGCTGCAGTGCCCTCCTCCATATGCTTCCATAGAGTTCATGCAGCCAGACAGAAAGGCCACAGGAAACCAACAAGCAGATGCTGGCTGATATATAGACTGAGGGGGGGGTCACAGTATAGGTTTATGTGGACTGAGGCGTTTTTCCCAAATGTTTTCAGTGAGATAAGATGCCACATCCTTTGTGCGGAGCGCTCTGGAGGTGAAAAAGATTAACTCAAAATTTTGAAGTAACCTACGTCATAAGTGTTTTTTCAGTGCTGACCAATCCAGTCAAAGTGCAGGCCTTCAGTGACGGTTGTGGAGGAATTGGTGGCTGCAACTGCAGAGTACCCTAAACTGCATTAATTAATGTATATAACTATCATGATGAATAAAGTTTAGCTTGTTTTTCTAGCACCACACGAAATGTCCTAAAAGAACAAGCTTTTTGTCTGTACATATTGAAATGATAGCTAGCAGCTCAAAGACAGTCATGACGCTAACATTATATAGCAACATCCAGAAATAGCCCTGAAAAATCATAAAACAAGAAAAAAAGATGCTTCACATTTTTCAACCTTTAGACAAAATGTAATGTGAACTCCCCCAAACAAATTTATAGATTCATTCTTTACAAAAAGGCTATTTTTTTAAAAAGCTAATATTCAGCAAAGTCTAATTTACACAATTTTCCTCTTATACCAAATGTAGCTAATCACACAAGACATGTTTGGTGTCTGAAGTCTGCTTCTTTAGGTTTGTACTGAATCCACACGGCTAATTTAGCTAACAATAACTGAAGCTTATATGCTACCAGTTACCACTGTTCAATTAGCAATTAGCTTATCTAGTTATGAAAACAGAATACTGCATAAAAATTGCAGTAGCCTGAATTTGATCTACATTTTGCACATAACCAAGTTCATTTTAGATTACTTAACCACTCAGCACAGTTTGGTGATTTAAATGTGCAGTTAGCACCACGCTATATGCTAAGTTATAAGCTTCTAGTGCTAACTACATTAGCCTTGTAGCTCCAGCACAAAACTCAAGAAGGAAACTTCAGACACTAAGTGTATCTTGACTAACTGATATGGCAGAACCTGATTAAATGTTAAATTCTGTTGAACTGTTGGTTTATATCCTCAAGCTGTGATGAAAGCAGATGACAACAGGTTTGGGTTTGGGTTTGGTTGCAGAATTTTTCTAGCTCAGACCAAAAGATTTCAATACAGGGGCCAAACTGAGGGATCCAAACATGACTCACTTTTGTGTTTCTCCATATTAGCACACTCCTTCATTCAGCTCTAAGAAATGGAAACAGATAACAACTCAAAATCTGAACCTAAATAAAAAATCATGATTATTGAATAAATTTACTGCATGTCATGCTACACGTCTGGCCTTATCTTAATGAGTTTGCGCAAGATTGCGTATGTTAAAGGCTGTGCAGCAGTATGCAGAAGAGGAAATGGCTTTGGTCGGGTTTCACAACCACGACACGGCACCAGTGGCAAGCTTCCTTTTTCACAGTGCAGAGTTTGTCACAGGATACACTTGAAAGAAGCAGCGGAACAAAATCTCTATCCAGATCACA